AGAGGTCACCGGTTCGATTCCCGGTCAGGGCACATGCCCAGGTTGTGGGTCCGATCCCCAGTGCAGGCATGTAGGAGGCAGCCAATCAGTGTTCTCTCTCATCGATGTTTCTATCTCCCTCCTTCTCCCTTCCTTTCTTTCTAGAATCAGTAAAGAAAAATAAAATAAAATAAAAGTTTTATTTAAGTACAAATGGCATGTTGAGTTAAAGCAAAGTGCCAAGTAAATCATATTAGAGGTAGCACATAGTTGTGCAAAATTATGATGGCTCATGACTGAAGCTTGGAGAGTGTCCACATGGTTATTTTTTCTCTTTGGAATAATAAAATCAAGAGCGTGTACTTCTGTGTAGGACAGAGCTACTGTTTTCCATCTCCATTTTATGAACGAGGAACCAGAGACTCGGAGGTCAAGTCATCGGCAGGTGACTTGGGAGCCTGTGCCTGTAACCTACACCCTGCTCTGAGATACTTCCGGCAGGGATCTCTCCCCCTCGCCTGCCCGCCTCCCGGGAAGAGGACCTTGGGGGCTTCTGTGGCCTGCAAATAGCTGGGGATGTCACAGCCTGAATTTACAGGCTGCTTCGTTTCCTCCCCCCACTGATGCTGTTGGGGTGCTTTCAGCTCAGCTTCCGTATTCCTGCAGCTTTGCCTCTGCTCAGCCAGACTCAGCCCACCTGTGAGCGCAGTCCACAGCCCATGCAGACCGAGGGTGGCTATTTTAGGTTTTGACTTAGAGGTTTAGAGGTTTTTTGACTGTTTCTGGTCTGTCCTTCCTTCCTTCTTAGCTGCGTGTGCCTGGACTCAGGTGGTGAACTGCGATGCTCAGCTGGGATCTGCCTGTTTCGGTCCTGGGGACTGGGTGATCACAGTGGAGACTCTGGTTTTGGGGTGCATAGGGGACCCCACGTGGCCAGTCACTGGCTGGTGCTGCATTTGTGCGAGATGAAGGTTGTCATTATCTGTAACCGTCTGTCAGGTAGGGGACCCTGTGGGGAGGCAGAGGGACAGGGAGGCAGCCAGGTGACACTTAGATATTCTCAGCAGCTGCCCCCATCTCTGGAGCCTAACAAACTTGGATTCCAGTCTTCTCTCCCATTTTCTTGCTTTGTGACTGTGGACAGTTTACTTTTCTTTTATTAATTAATTAATTAATTAATTTTTATCCTCACTCGAGGACATTTTTTCATTTTCTTTTGTTCAGATAGAGTGGGAGGGAGAGAGAGAGAGAGAAACATCACGTGAAAGGGACACATCGAGTGGTTGCCATCCACACGACCCAACCAGGGCCGGGGACAAAATGCAACCGAGATATGTGCCCTTAGCGGGAACCGAACCCGGTCTCTCTGGACTGCAGGCCGACGCTCTTACCGCTGAGCCAAACCGGCCAGGGCGACAGTTTACTTTTCTAAGCCTCAGCGGTTCATCTGGCAAACCAGAATAATAATCCTGTCCCTCATTGGCCAGCGTGAGGATTTGATACCATGACATGGCACCCCAGCACAGTGCCTGGCAGAAGACAGTCTGTGCTCAGTTCATGGTGACAGGAACAGTCACAATGGTTGATTATCTTTTTCTTTATTCCTCACCTGGGGATATTTTCCATTTATCATCAGACAGCGTGGGAGGGAGGGAAGGGGATAGAGAGACAGAGAGAAACATTGATGTGATAGAGCCACATTGACTGGTTGCCTTCCGCACGACCCGACCAGGGCCGGGGATGAACCCCAACCGAGGTCTGTGCCCTTGACCGGAATCGAACCCGAGATTCACAGGTCCGAGGGCTGCCGCTCCAAGCACTAAGCTGAACCGGCCAGGGCTGACTACCATTTTGTTGTCATTCATCAGTCTCCTGAGGCAGGATCAGAAGTGGAAGGAAACAGGGAAATCGTCTTGCCAAGGACAACGCATGGGGGGAGGGGGCTGAGCCACACAAAATGGGGGGACAGGAATCACTGCAGGATCTGTGGCTTCCTGGGGGCTGGAGACCAGGTGGCGACCCCGCTGTAGAGCACCGTAGTTTCAGCCTTGGTCCTGAGCCCAGTGAGCTCATCAGGAGCTCAGAAACGTGCTCACGAGTGGTTGGGCCCAGCCATGCACTGGAGGGAGAACGGGTGGGGTGTCTGGCAGACTCGCAAACCCAGACTGCTGCGGGGCGGGCGGGGAAGGCAAAGAGGGAGGCAGGCGTGGTGTGAGAAGGGGGGACAGCAGACAGCGGACAGTGTAGCCCTCGTCCGAGGGCACAGCCGCTGCTCAGCCCACAGCCGTGTGCGTTCAGTGTTGTCACTGCTTGTGGTTTTTCAAACTGACATGTTAAATCTTTTCAAATCAATTAATTCAAACGTTTACGAAACACATAGGCCGAACGTAGCCTGTGTGCCAGCTTGCTTGTAAGTGTGGACCCGATTGTCCTCTGAGCACGAGAGGTCCAGGCCACGACGCAGCAGGCAGGCGGCAGAGGGCCTTGCAGGGGGCTGCGGGGGAGGGGCCGGGGCCGGCCGGGCGGGCACTCATCTTTGAATGGGATTGAAACAAGACTGTAGGGAGCGTTCTGACCTAGAGGCTACATGGATCCCCGGGGTCATCCCAGGGCAGGTCAATAGCTACGGCCTCGGACGCTGGGAAGGAGATGTGTTTTGGTTCAAGACTGAGCTGATGTTTAACCTGTATCCATTGGCACTACGGTGCCAGTTGTAAAAATATTGAAATGTTTTCACACCAATTGCTAAATAGCCACTGGACCCACTGAGCGTCCTTCTCATCCCTCCCCCCACCCTCCCCCCAGCCCCTCCGCACCTGACCTTGCGATGACCTGCAGCTGGGCCCTCTGCCCCATTCTGACTGGCCAGTGGGCAGCGCCTGAACCCCGGTGTTCGTAAATATCAACCCCTCCACCCTCACTGCAGGCGCCGTGCCTGCCTGGGTCTGCTGAAGTGCAGAGGACAATTTTGGGAGGACACGGGAGTCCGATGGAATTGGGGGCAGGACGGCAGGTCCAGAAGGAATGGAACTAGGAGCTGCACCCGAGGTTGTGTGACCTTTGTCTTTACCCCTCTGCTCCTTGGAGCCTGCTGTAAAAAAGGCCACCGGCGCCGTGGGGCTGCCTTCTCCTGGCTGCCTGCATCCCAGCCCTAAACATGCGAGATGTTTGAGCCAAACCTCACCTTTCTGCCAGTGCCCTGTCCAGGGTCCGTGGGACCTCTCACGGTGCAGACCTGCCCGTCTCAGAGGTGGCTCTGGTCGGGGGCGGCGTGGACAGGCTCCCTCAGGAGTCTCCTTGAGGATTGTGGCGTCACGAGGACCCCACTGTGGCATCATTTCCAGCTTTTAGGTGGCAAGAAGTGGGGGCAGAATTGATCAGGGGTTGCTTGGTCCGGCTGGTCCGAGGACTGGGCTGGTGGGTGGGAGGTGCATGCATTCTCCTGAGGCGAGGGAGTGAGGGTGGAGGGCCCAACGGCCTCTACATAAACCGTAAAGAAACAAACTTCCCACGCTGGCCCGTGCGGCTCAGTGGACTGAGCGTCCTCCCCTGAACTGAGAGGTCCCCGTTCCATTCCCGTCAGGGCACATGCCCGGGTGGCAGGCTCGATCCCCTGGGGTGGGGGGTGTGCAGGAGGAGGCCGATCGATATTTCTTTCTCTCCCTTGCTCTCTCTAAAAAAATCAATGAGCTTCCCCCGGCTACTGGCCTGGTGGCCTTCCTTTCCCTCGGCTGGCTCTCGTCTGTCCTGCTAGCTCACTCCTCGTGTTTCCTAAGCAGCAGGTGCGCAGCCTCTCAGGGGTCAGCGGTGATGATGGCAGCCCCACCGCGGCCTCCGCAGCTCTGGGGCCTCTTACCACCTGCCGGCCCGTGGGACGTGCTGTGCTCCTGAGGCTGGAGCCCTGGGCTAGTCCCTGCACCTCCCGTCTCTCGGTTCCCTCATCTGTGAAGTGGGGTCATAGTGGAATGTATTTCATAGAGACATTATAGGGTTAAGTAAATTCATGACCAGTTAATTCCTGAAAATAGCTCCTGGCATGAGTCGGTGCTCAATAAATGTTAACTCGTGCTCTTTAAATACTTACTGAGCTCCTCCTATGTGTAAGTACTATAGATAGCCTGGGCTATATGGTGAGCAAAATCCCGGCATGATGCTTGTGATGTCTGTCAGTCAGAGAACTGCATGAGGTGCTGTAACAAATAGCCCTTAAGTATAGTGACTTAAACAAGACAGGTTGATTTTCCCTCAGGCGTCTTTCCAAAGGGACAAAGTCCAAGGCTAGTAGGATTGTTGTATCCTTTCAACATTTGGCTCCTGGTTTTGGTCCAAAGTGGTCACTTGTAGTTCTCACCATCTTCCAGCTGTGGGAAGGGGAAAAGGGGCCACGGGGTGTTTATACATTCTTATAAAGGAACTGACCCCACAGCACACGCATCCCCGTGGCCAGAGCTACATGGCACACCAGCTGCAAGGGAGGCTGGGAAACGTGGTCTCTGACAGGGCAGCTGTGATCTCCGCCAAAACTCAAGGATTCTGTTCCTGAAGGGAATGGGTATTGGTGGCAATCTGGCCGTCCCTGCCATACCCTGCGGGCTATTTATTGGACACTGAACTCTGTCCTGTAGTTGATGGTGACTAGTAACTGGCCTTGTGCCCAGACTTAGGTTTCCGTCACTCCAGAAGCTTGCTTAGAGTGTGGGGGTGGGGGAGCAGAAACAGGAGCAAGTGGGCCTGTGTAACCACTGTGTCTGCCACTTTGTTCTGGTCTCGGAGTGCTGCTGCAGGCAGGAACCAGCAGGCCCGGGAGTGTGCTGGGGCTGGACTGGGAGCACAGCTTCCTACTCACCGTCCATGCATCAGGCGCCCTGCCTGGGCACGGGCTCCAGTGCCCGACCTAATGGTGATGAGCGCTGGGGGCCAAGTTCAGTGCTTGGTGCATTCTCCGGGGACTCTCAGCGCGGCGTGAACGTGGGCATGCCGACCTGACGCTGGCCTCTTTTGTCTGTTTCTCTTGGCCTTAGGACCCGCGGAGCAAACACAAGTTTAAGATCCACACATACTCCAGCCCCACGTTTTGTGACCACTGTGGGTCGCTGCTGTACGGACTCATCCACCAGGGGATGAAATGTGACAGTAAGTACGCTGGCCCTTCGCCAGCCGGGAGGCTTCCTCATGCTTTCGGGTCCAGGTCTGCAGCGTGTTCTCCCAGGTCCTGGGGGGGCTGGTATGTTGCTGAGTAATGATCCTCTCACCCCGAAAGGTAGCGGCTTAAAATAGCCACAGTGTATTTAACCCATGTTCGAAGGCCGTCCTCTGGGTCTGGGCTGGGCTTACTCATGCACGTGCGGTGGGTTAGTAAGTGGCTGGGGCTGTCTGGCCTGGACGGCCTCAACCATGTGTCAGAAGGCTGGCTGTCGTGTGGGTGAAGGGGATGTCTTTCATCTGGAGTGGTCTCGCCCAGGCTTGCTCACACGGAATTTGCAAGGTCCCAAGAGATCAAGTCCTGTGGATCAAAGCAAGTCACAGGGCAAGGCTCACAGTCAGTGTGGGAGGGGGCAGTTCATGGGTGTGGACACTGGGAAGTGTGGACAGACCGGCCGCTGCAGCTGGTTCCATTGCTGATGGGCAGGGCCTATGCCGTCTCTGCTGGAGGAGACCTGCCTCCCTCCGGCACCACGGGTTTCTGCTGGCAGGGCGAAGAGGCTGAGTCTCGGGCCAGGTGGCGGGGCGGGGCTGCTCTTTATTAAGCAAGCGACTGAAGGGTTGTGCAGAGGAGAGACTTGGGGAGCTAGGCTGTGGAGGGCGGGGACTCAGCTACTCAGGGGTCCTGAGATACAGAGGACAGAGAGGCACTCCCCAGGCAGAGTGACAGAGAAGAGTTTGGATGGGGGAGAAGAGTGTGAGAGACAGAAACACTCAGGCACGGACAGACGACGCAGGGCAGTGGACACATCCCGAGGCGCAGGAGGAAATGGGGAAGCTGCAGAGGGGCTCGGCTGCCAAGAGACACAGGCAAGAGGAGGGCCAGACAGGCCAGGGGACGCAGATCGGGGGTGGCCCCGAGGGAGGCACTCACAGGGTGCCGCAGGGACACAGGCGGAGAGCCCAGGACCCAGAGCACAGCCAGCAGTGAGTCGGGTCCAGCTCCGGGACGTTTTGCTCCTCTTACCGGCACCCACCTTTATTTTCCTGTAATTAGTTATGAAGACTGTTATGGGGGGCTCCACTCAGAGGTTCTTCAGGGCCCGTACCCCCCACCACTGTGGGTCCACAGCTGCAGCCCTGGGGTCTCTCCCCAGATGGTGCCCTCCCAGGGGGTGGTTCGAGGCCAAAGCTGGCGGAGCGGGTGCAAAGGTCCAGCTCTCTTATTGAGATTCTGGACAACTCTGAAGGGCCATCTGAGCCCAAGGGCTCCCCTGAGGGGGCCAGCCTAGGTGCATCCCCAGCCCCCCCTCTGTGGAGCACTCACCATGACCTGCTCCCAGCTCCCTTCTCAGACCTTTCCAGGGAGCTCCACCCATTAGCTGTGGATGCGTAAACATCAGGTGTCCCTTACGGGTCAGGACGCCTGCTGATCTTCACAGGTGGGAAGCCGAGCCGGAGTGGGGCTGCTGGGCTGCCAAGCTGGCCAAGTCCTGCCACACACATTTCCCTCCCCATCTTCCCTCCGCGTGTTACCTGATGCCCGCGTTGAAGTTGGTGACTGGCCTCAGAGCCCCTGGGGGTGTGCAGGGTGCACCCTCAGCCTTTGGGAGGACAGACAAGCTCCGCCTCCTCTGACCCTCAGGGCTCAGGGAGAGTAGTTGGAGAAACCTCTCTGATGTGATCCCGTGGACAGGCTTGTTCAGCCAAGCTCCAGGGGCCCGGCCTGCTTGGGTGGGGAAAGAGGCCTGAGGCATCAGCCCTGCCCACCTGAGCCTTGCCCTGTCTGCCCTGCAGCCTGCATGATGAACGTCCACAAGCGCTGCGTGATGAACGTGCCCAGCCTCTGCGGCACAGACCACACGGAGCGCCGCGGCCGCATCTACATCCAGGCACACATCGAGAGGGACGTCCTCATCGTTGTTGGTAGGTGGCCCTGTGTGTGGGTGGGGGGCTGTTTCCACCCTGACGTGTGGGAGCCCATGCGGGACATGCTCCCCCTCCTGCATTATGCCCCTCCCTGCGGTGGACAACCCCAGAGATGCTCCGGCACCCGAGGTGCTGCGCCTCCCCTTCCCCACTCATTCTCTGCGTCTTTGGAGTGTGTAGTTCTAATTCCTTTACTAAGATAGCAGACAAGGGATGCGGGGTTCTATTCCCACAGGTTTCCAGGGGGGAGAACAGATTCTTGATGAGAAACTCCCAGGGAGTGTTACACCTCGGGGAGGAGGAGGGTGCGGCGTGCCTCCCTGGGGACCTTCCACGTATTGGAAATCTCTCTCACTCCTGCCGGTGGCTACACTGGTCCCTGGTGCACCATTCTCGTACTTTTGGAACTTCTGAAATATTTCATAAGAAGAAGGAGGGAGACTGCAGCCGGCTGGAGAGGGGCAGCGGCTGGAGAGGGCCTGGTGCCTGTGGCTCATTCATGGGCCATTCCAGAAGTTCCTGGCCGCACTGGGCAGCACTGGTCGCCGAGCTGAGGGGTGGCAGCAGCACTGGCTGGCCGAGTGGGGTATCGTGCCTACTTAACACTTGACCACAGAAGGAATTGATTTTGCAAAAATTGGTCTGTTTCGGAGGCCCCAGAAGGGTTCAGCACTCTGCTGTGTTGAGCCCTGTGCTGGGGGGAGCCTTACCTGAAAAATATCCCTGTAAAATGTAATCCCTGTTTTAAACTGAGGGTCGCGACACCCCGTGAGCATTCCGTTGAATTGCTTTTTCCTCTAAAAGGAAGGCAAGCAGCTGACTTCTTCCCACTGGGATACTTGGGGATTCTGGGAGAAGCCTGCAGTCACTGTTCAAAGGCCCCTGGTTTTCCCCGCTGACTGAGCATCCTGGCTCGAAGGGGCAAAACATGAGACTCTTCTGCCCTCTACCGTCACATTCCAGGAACTACACAGGCTCGCATACCTTATGGAACCTTTCTGCGGGCCTCCCTGTTAAGGCCTTCTGCGTTGACGGAGCTCACCCAAGGCACAGTGCTCCACACCTTACTTATCATGGTGTCCTCAAGGGCCACCCTTGGTTCCCACAACACAAAAGAAGTGATAATTATGTGACGTGATGGATGGCAGCAATCCCACTTTAGTCTATAAGTGTATCAAATCCATGCATTATATACCTTCAACTTGCACAGTGTTTCACGTCGGTGATCTCGATTAAAAAAGCTGTACATGTTATCTCTCGTTACTCACAACAGCCTTGTGAAATGTCTATTATGCTCATTTTATGAAGCTGTGAGTCTCAGCCTTATGCTTCCAAGAGCTTATTCCATTAATAATAATAATATAATAGCCGACCTTGGAGTTTTTAATGCATCAATCACTGTGCAAAGCACTTACAGGCAATAACTTTACATTTTCTTCAGTAACTACTGAGCTGAGGAGCAGTAGTGACAGATCAGGAAGAAGGCTCACAGAGTCACACACTTGGTCATGTAGGTCTGTTTGACCCTTCAACACAATACGCTAGTGACCGTTTAGTCCAGGTCCCTGGCACACACCCCACACCTTGCTCATTCCCTTTTGTGGTTTAGCTAAATTGCCTCTTGCGGGCATTTCCTCGGGGAGTCTTTGTTCCATCTGGTGCAATACAATGTTCCTTCAAATTCAAGGTCAAAGCCTTCCCCCTTCATCGCATGTATGCTCTAGCCGATGATTCTCAGGCAACCCTAGTGCATGCCTATGAATATTCATTCCCTACAGCTGCCCAACAAAATACCACAGAGTGGCTGGCCTGCCGACAGCTGTCTGTCCGCTAAGTGTTCTGGAAGCTAGAAGTCTGAGCCCAGGTGTCGGCAAGGCTGGTTCCTTCCGGAGGCTCTGAGGGAGTCTGGTCCAATGCGCCCCCCCCCCCCCCCGTTTCTGGTGGCCGCCATCAGTCTGATGTCCCCCATCTTGGCTTCCCAATTACATGGTGTTCTGTCCTGCATGTCTCTGTGTCCAAATGTCCTCTTGTGAGGACACCGGTTAGTGGATTAGGGACCCACCCTTACCTCATATGACCCCATCTTAACTTGATTGCATCGGCAAAGACCCTATTTCCAAATAAGGTAATATTTACAAGTGCTAGGGTTAGAACTTGAATGTATTTTTTGTGGGGACACAAGTCAACCTGTTACAGGGGGAAAGAGAGGAAAGTTGGGGCTCCTTTAAAGTGAGGAGCAGAGCCCTGGCCAGTATGCCTCAGGGGTTGAGCATTGTCCTGTGCACCAGAAAGTCACTGGTTCGATTCCTGGTCAGGGTGCATGCCCAGGGTGTGGCTTTGATCCCCAGTTGGGGCGTGTGCAGGAGGCAACCAATCTATGTTTGTCTCTCACATTGATGTCTCTCTCTCAAATCAATTTTTAAAATACATGTTAAAGTGAGGGGCAGAGTGCTTCATGCTCAGGGTTCTGATTGCATTATTGACAGTTACCAGCATTGTAGTCACACCTTGTAGCTTTCCAAGTGCTTCGATGTGGAGCCTCCAGTGGAGGCAGCGTCGTTGCCGCCGTGCAGAGGGGAAGCTAAGACTCAGTGAGGCTGCGCAGCCCGCCTGGTGCCACCGCAGCTCCTGGGCCTCCTGGCGGCGGGTCCTGTGCCTTCCATCGCTCCCTCACCACGCTGGGCAGCCAGTCCGCAGCACAGGCTGCTGATCGATTGATCAGGGAAGAACCTGATGCTTTGACTGTCGTTTTCTAAAAATAGAGCCCAGGTGAGATTTTTGTTCAAGTGATTTATTGGGGCCGCTCACGGGGGAAGAGGAGTGAGGGCGGAGCAGGGGAGGCTACGCGAGAGTATGGTTCCCGCTGCCTGGTGCCTTGGAGGTCCAGACCCTCATCCCAGCACAGAGTCACACCCTCGTGGGGTCAGAGGGCTATTCTGTGAGGATCATTCAGTGCTATGGACTGAATTCTGTCTTCCCAATGTCACACGATGGAGCCCCAGCCCCCAGTGAGGCGGTATTTGGGGATGTGGCCTCTGGAAAGTCACAGGGTAGGGCTCTCACGATGGGACTGGTGGCTTTGTAGGAACAGGAGGGGAAAGAGATTCCTCTGTCTCTCTCTGCCACGCGAGGGCTCAGCATGAGGGCAGCCGGCTGCAAGCCAGGAGCAGGTTCTCACCGGGAACCAGGTCAGCCTGCACCTTGACCTCAGGCGTCCGGCCTGCACAGCGGTGAGGCGCGAGTGGTGCTCTGTGACAGCCGCCCGGGCTGGCTAAGAGTGGCTGCTACAGGCGCTCTGGTTGGAGGTGGAGGTGGCCTCTGTGGCTGAGGGCCGTTAACAGCCACCAGCACGGCAGCCAGCGGGTGATGGGTCCACGGGCTGGCATGGAGGGGAGCGGGGCAGGTCCAGGACACCTGGCTGTCCTTTTGCTGTCCCAAGCATCCTGGTTTCATGGCTGGGACTCCGGTCCCTCTTCCTTTATCTCAGCCAGACAGACCAGAGAGCCAAGGCTGAGGGGACTCTCCAGCAGCGCCAGGCCCGAGTGGCCGCAGTGTTGGTGCACGATCTCCCTTCCTCCAGGCCACGGAGCACGTTCCATTTGAGGACTGTCCACTCACCAGCCCAGACGCTTGCTGTTTGCTCTGAATGTCACGTGTGCTTCGGAAATCCCAGCCCATCTAGAGACCACCCCGGGCTGCAGGTGCCTCTGAGAGGTGTGAAGATCTCCTCAGATGCCCGTGGCCATGACATCCGGGCTCTCTGTCTCTTAGATCTGCAGAGTGGGAATCCAATGAGCTCTCCTTTTAAAAGCTCACGGCTGTTCTCACTGCCCTTAGGACAGACAGTCTGCTGAGGTGGTCTCACGGTCTCTTCTCCGTCTCCTCCTCTCTTTCCTTCTGCACCCTCTGCCGCCCATTCCGTCCCCTGTGAGGATGCTCATCTGTGCCCTCTCGTTTCCTTCCAGCAGTTACTCTGCCTCTTCCTGCAAGGTCTCAGCTCATTTCACATCAGGGAAGCTTCCCCAACCCTCCCTTGAAGATGCTCTAGTGTCGGGGCTTCAGCGGCATGAGCTGCGGTTTCACGTTGGCCTGGCCAGTGTCCACATCGCCCCCAGGCTTTGGGCTCCACGAGAGCAGGCCTGTGTCTGCTCCGCTCACCAGTCTCCCCCGCACCTCGTGCAATGGCACCGCGACCTATTCGCGATGTGTGTGTGAATGAACTACCACTTGAGTTGCTGACAGATACCAGGACCTCACAGACGATCCTAATTCACTGCCTTCTGAAGTCAGGCTGAAGTTCACCCGGTAACCCATTTCACATCATTATTCTTATGTGAAGGGGACCACGCAGAAAACAGTAAGGACCAGGCCCAAGGTCTGGTATTACTGGGACTAGGACCCACGCAGTGGTGGGGAACGTCCGGCCGGCAGGCCATATAAGGCTCACGAAATCAGTACCTGCTGACATCACATACCTCACCAAAGTAGCCCGACCAAATACAGAAGGCTAATTTTGATAATTTTGTATGGCCCTTGAATGATGTTATAAACGGCCCTTGGCAGGAAGAAGTTTCCCACCCCTGTGAGTGAGAGCCACGACCACCCTGCCCCCCGGATAACGTAGAGAAGACGCAGCGTAGGGGCCCGTGGCCTCCCAGGGAACCACGTGGACCTCTCGATGCCAGCGGGTTCCAGGAGCAGGCCCCACGGCACCAGGAGCTGTGAAGTTCACGGAGCGGGGTCCGTGCACATTAACCCCTTGCAGCCCGGGACCTCCCTGCTCACTGCTGGATCCCGTCTTCCCCTCCCCACCCCGTCAGCCAATGTAACCATGTCCAGCTTCAGATCCATAATTGCATCTTACAAAAGCTGGGCTGTTCCTAAAAAAAGTTGAAGGGGCGATTTTTTTTGAGATTTCTCTTTGGGACTTCCATTCAGTGTTCTTAGCATTATGTGATACTGTACAAACCTTCTTGGGCTGAAGCAGCGCCCAGAAA